CACCTTGGACAGCGTGCTAGCCGCAATTCGCTCATTAGAAATAAATGGCCATAACTACGACCAGGCCGTAGGTATACTCCAAGATTGCTTTAACAATAAACGTTTGAACTTTCAGGCACATATAAAGGAATTATTTGGGTTAAAGAAATGCGAGAAAGGTGCTGTTGACCAGCTGAGAGAGCTAAGCGATAAATTCACCGCCAACCTTCGAGCACTCCAGACGATAGCAACTAAAGAGCAGATAACAGATGGTATACTAGCACATCTCATTGTGAACAAATTCGATGTGGACTATCAAATGAAATGGGAAAAAACTACACCAGTCAAGGAGCTGCCTACGCTGGATTCTGTGATGTCATTGTGGAACACACGCTGTCAAATGTTGGAAAGCGTGGAAAATGCTACGGTAACCCAAACACCTAACAAACAGATGGGCAAACAATTAAATTCCAATCCTCGTAAGGCGTTCATCGCTTCAAATTTAGTATCAAACTGGTTGTTTTGCGATAGTGCTAATTACCATATATATCTCTACAATAGGCAAAAAGACTGCAGCTTTGTACAAATTGCCTTAAAAAGGGCCACTTCTTAAAACATTGCAGATCATCTGGCTGCAGAGATTGCAGTTCAAAGCATCATACGTTTCTCCACGTAATTGCACCTGTTATTGAAAAATTGCCAGATGATCCCTCAACTTTCAGTATCGCTCAAACACATAAATCGCTCGTTAGCTCTCTCGATGGGCCCCAAAATTCTCTTCCGAATAATATGGTTCTTTTGGCCACTGCTGTTATTTTTGTTAAAAACTATGTCGGCTCCCTAGTTCCCTGCAGAGCTATATTGGATTCAGCCTTGCAATTAAATTTTGTCTCGTGGCTTTGCGCTAATATGCTTCGGCTAAAGCGACCTAAATGGACAACTCTTGTTTCTGGTACTGGTCAGACAGATCTTGTTGCTAATCACACTATAGAAATTTATATGCAGTCACGGATTGGTAACTACACAAATTCCTTTACTGCTGTTGTTACGCTATCCATCACTGAGAATCAACCCAATTACACTTTGAACAATATCGAGTGGCAGATACCATCGAACATACAATTAGCAGACCCTTACTTTTACAAGTCTCAACGAATCGACATACTTATTGGAGCGGGTATATTTTTTGTGTTGGACAAATACGGTTGTCTGATAACCTGCCATTATTGCAGAAAACTCGTTTGGGCTGGGTTGTTTCTGGAGGTGCCTTACCCACCACTCGTGCATCATCTTGTTTAGCTGCATTCAAAGCGCATTCTCTTGAAAATTAAGCGGATGCATCTCTTGAAGCAGTACAGAAATTCTGGGAAATTGAAAATATTTCTTCTTCTGTATCCAAGGTCAGCCAGGAAGAATTGGATTGTGAACGACATTTTCAAGAGCATTATACTAGGTTGGATTCGGGGGAGCATGCAGTCCGTTTACCATTTAAACGAAACCCCGATCAACTTGGGAATTCATATAGTAATGCACTCAATCGGTTGAGAAATATTGAGCGGGAACTGAAGCGCAAGCCTGATTTGAAAACTCAATACGCATCGTTCATGTCGGAGTTCGCATGTCTATAGTTGATAAGATTCCGCCTGACATAGCAACGTTCTTCTTGCCACATCACTGTGCTTTAAAGGATGATAGTACTACGACTAAGCTGCGCGTTGTTTTTGATGGCTCCGCTCGAATATCCTCTGGGTTTTCATTAAATGACATATTAATGACGGGGCCCACTATTCAGCCTAAATTGTTTGACACTCTTCTTCGCTTTCGCTCTCATAAGATCGCCTTGACGGGAGATATAGGAAAAATGTGTAGATGCGTTCGAATGTCAGACCCTGATAGTTATGCACAATGTGTTCTTTGGAGAGAAAATCGAAAAAATTACCCCCAAACTTTTAAATTGGACACTGTCACGTATGGAACAAAGCCAGCGTCTTTTCGAGCGATCAGAGCCATGCAGCAATTAGCAAGAGAGGAGCGCGAATCATTTCCCATCGGATCAGATATCGTATTTCGTGACTTCTACGTCGATGATTTGATTTCGGGAGGTGAATCTGTAGAAGAAGTTTTGGAAATCAAACGACAAACTAGCGAGTTACTGCGCAGAGGTAATTTTAATATTCGAAAGTGGTGTTCTAATTGTCCTCTCGTATTGTCTGAAATTACCGAGTGTGATCGAGAGAAGCTTCTTAAATTCCACGACGGAACTAATATTGCAAGGACTTTGGGTTTATGCTGGAATCCAGACTGTGGCGACTTCCTTTTCTCATTTTCTTCTCAAGTTTCCAATGAAAAGGTTACCAAACGATTCGTATTGTCGATGATCGCACGATTTTACGACCCACTTGGATTAATAGGCTCAGTGATTGCGAAGGCAAAGATTTTTTTTGCAACTCCTATGGAAGGAAAAACTGCACTGGGACAAGAGTTTGCCTCAATCGCTCCCAGCCATGTGGAACCAGTTATGCAGGGGCTATGAAGTTATAGGAAAATGCAGCTTTCCCAGATTCGTTTTGTGTAGCAGAGATAAAGTTGTTGTCCATGCATTTTGCGACGCAAGTTTATCAGCTTATGGCGCATGCATCTATATATATATATCAACTGGGTGCCCTATCTCAATTAAAACAGCGCTACTTTGTTCTAAATCGCGCGTTTCCCCTCTTAAAACCCTTACAGTTCCCAAGCTTGAGTTGTCTGCTGCAGCGTTATTAGCAGATCTAGTCGCTTCAGTGGCACGATTAGGTGCTTTCGGGGCTGAATTTCATTGCTGGTCGGATTCGACGATTGTACTTTCGTGGCTGAAGGATTCATCTTCAAATTTTAACATTTTTGTGGCTAATCGCGTTAGCAGTATTCAATCGTTGACTAGTGGAATGGAGTGGCATTATGTGCCCACAGAAATGAATCCAGCAGACGTATTATCTAGGGCAGCGACATCTCAAGAGCTTGTGAACTCTAAACTATGGAAATACGGCCCAGATTTCTTGCGCGGTCCAGTCTACAACTGGCCTCAATCACCTCTAAACGTCATTGATCTTCCTGAAAGGCGCAAACGCGTTCTCGATTCAACGTTTGTTGCCATTGATTATTCAACAACTTCAAAATTTTCAAACGATTTTGATAAAATGTAAAGAATATACGCTTACATTTACAAGCTCGCTCATCGTAGCTCTTCTCTCCCTACTACTACAGGAAACTTAAGCGCAATTCAGATTAAGCGTGGAACTCAATTACTATTCCGAATGATCCAGAGAGGACATCTGGCGGCAGAATATAAGGTGCATCATGAAAATAAACCGGTTGATTCATCTAGTAAAATCTACAATCTTAATCCANCCGCATTGTCAATAAATGCATCATCTGCTTTCGAGCGAAACCTATGCTACAAGAGCATATAATGGCTAATCGAGCATTTGTAGTCACTGGAGTGGACTTTTGCGGTCCATTCTTTTACAAGTCTGAGGTCCGTAACAAGCCACCGATAAAATGCTACGTTTCTTTATTCGTTTGTTTCGCAACAAAGGCGATATACATGGACCTGGTTGCTGATTTGTTTACCTCAGCGTTTCTTGCAGCCTTGAAAAGATTGTATCTCTGCGTGGCAAACCGAAAACGATATGGTCTGATAATGCGACCAATTTTGTCGGTGCCAAAAATGAGTTAGCTGAATTACGGAATTTGTTCAAAAGCAGCTCACACAGCAAGCAATTGTGAATCAATGTTTGAATGATGGAATTCACGGGCAGTTTATACCCCTCCCGCTCTCCGCATTTTGGTGGACTGTGGGAGGCAGCCATTAAGTCTGCCAAGTATCATTATCAGCGCACCGTAGTCCNAACTGCACTGGGACAAGAGTTTGCCTCAATCGCTCCCAGCCATGTGGAACGAGTTATGCAGGGGCTATGAAGTTATAGGAAAATGCAGCTTTCCCAGATTCGTTTTGTGTAGCAGAGATAAAGTTGTTGCCCATGCATTTTGCGACGCAAGTTTATCAGCTTATGGCGCATGCATCTATATATATATATCAACTGGGTGCCCTATCTCAATTAAAACAGCGCTACTTTGTTCTAAATCGCGCGTTTCCCCTCTTAAAACCCTTACAGTTCCCAAGCTTGAGTTGTCTGCTGCAGCGTTATTAGCAGATCTAGTCGCTTCAGTGGCACGATTAGGTGCTTTCGGGGCTGAATTTCATTGCTGGTCGGATTCGACGATTGTACTTTCGTGGCTGAAGGATTCATCTTCAAATTTTAACATTTTTGTGGCTAATCGCGTTAGCAGTATTCAATCGTTGACTAGTGGAATGGAGTGGCATTATGTGCCCACAGAAATGAATCCAGCAGACGTATTATCTAGGGCAGCGACATCTCAAGAGCTTGTGAACTCTAAACTATGGAAATACGGCCCAGATTTCTTGCGCGGTCCAGTCTACAACTGGCCTCAATCACCTCTAAACGTCATTGATCTTCCTGAAAGGCGCAAACGCGTTCTCGATTCAACGTTTGTTGCCATTGATTATTCAACAACTTCAAAATTTTCAAACGATTTTGATAAAATGTAAAGAATATACGCTTACATTTACAAGCTCGCTCATCGTAGCTCTTCTCTCCCTACTACTACAGGAAACTTAAGCGCAATTCAGATTAAGCGTGGAACTCAATTACTATTCCGAATGATCCAGAGAG